CGATGGTGACGGCGAATCTGTTGCTGACGACAAGAGTGAGGGTGTTCCCAAGTCTAATAAGAGGAAGGACCGAAACTCGCCAGATCTAACAGAAAGGCGAGTGGCAAAGAAGAAGGACCTGAAGCCAAGTCCTCTGAAAGACGCGACGAAGCAGAACGCCGAAAAAAAAGACGCAGCTGCCTGGCAAGACGTCCAATCAAGGAAGGAGAAGAGGAGACTAGCCAAAGAGCAGCTCCCAAAGCAGACTTCAAAGGAGCCCAGGCCGGAGCCTAAGCGGAAAAAACCCCACAAATGGATCAGACCCGACGCACTGATCATTCGCCCGGCCGAGAAGGAGAAATACGCCGAGATCCTGCGTCGAATCAAGCAGTCCGTCCCTGATGAACAGGTCCGTACGACCGTGGAGAAAATCCACAAGACCAATACCAGGGACATGCTGATCACACTCACGAGAAAGAGTGCTGATAGAGGCGAAGCCCTACAAAAGACCATCGCGGACATCCTTAAAGAGGAAGCCAAAGTGATATGCAAAGGGCCACAGGAGACTATCGAGATCCGAGACGTCAATGACGACACGACGAAGGCAGACATTCAAACTGCACTGAAAAAAGAAACCGGAGAAATCTGTGAAATATCTCTGGAGTCGATCAAGATCCGTAAAGCCTACAGAGGTACTCAGACTGCTACAGTGACGCTACCAGCGACAACTGCACAGAAGTTACTAGAAGGTAACAGCAAAGTGAGAATTGGTTGGGCCAACTGACGAATAAGAGCAACGAAGAGACCTGTCCAATGTTTCAAATGCTGGCACTTTGGGCACTTCGGATCCCAGTGCAAAAGCAAAGTCGATCGGTCTAGGCTTTGCATCAGGTGCGGACAAGAAGGGCACAAGATTGCTGATTGCGAAAATCCAGCCAAATGTGCATTATGTGCTGAGATTGAAAATGCAGAGAATGTTGCCCACCATGCCGGTACCCATAAGTGCCCGGTATTTCAGAATGCACTCCAGAAGTTGACGAACAAATAAGCATGAGGATACTGCAGCTCAATCTCAACCATTGTGAGGCAGCGCATGACCTGCTCATGCAATCCGTGCGAGAACTAGAGCTTGACTTGGTACTGATAGCAGAGCTATATAAACACCCGAGTACCCAACCCTGGGAAACTGACAGCACATCCAAAGCTGTCATCTGGTCATGTGGCAAGCTCCCTTTCCAAAATGCAGTCGACAACAGCAATGCCGGCTTTGTAGCAGTATTAGTAGAGGGCATCCGCTTCTATAGCTGTTACGCACCACCTAGCCTCTCTACTGTCGAATTCACCGCATTTCTGGATCGACTTACCGAGGACGCGAAGCATTACCACCCAGTGGCAATAGCTGGGGACTTCAACGCCTGGGCAGTAGACTGGGGAAGCAAGCATACAAACGCGCGAGGTGTTTAACCGCTAGAAAAGAGATCTAGTCAAATACTTATAAGAAGAATTACGCCTTCGGGCTTAATCGTTAAAACTCGGGAATAATCGTATAAACTCGGGAATAATCGTATCACGCTATGGCCGTCGCTCATGCACGCCTTGGTTAGCGGTAGCGAAGCCGGCTCGCATGGTCTGATGCAACAGTTGTGCTTGGACTTTTGTACTAGTACGACTACTCTGTGCTAATCAATTTGATAATTCTTCCTAGCATCTCACAATCATTCAAATATTTAAATCATTCATTAAATATAAATAATTATAGTAGATTCAATTATACTTTAAATTCTCAATTCATTTAAATCAGTTTAATAGTTCAGTGAATTAACATAAATAAAATCAAGTAAATTTATTTAGTGACGCCACGCGGCCATTACGCGCCACCGTGACAAAGGATTGCATCAGCCACGCGGCTTTAGTCAATCCATAATTGACGCGTGATATTAACCATTGACAAGGAACGGTAGGGCGAAGCGACCAACAGGAAAAACGTCAGCCTGGCAAAAAGTTCAGTCCAAGAAAGAGCTAAAGCGACAGAAGGAAGAGATGCTCTCACAACAGACGACAAAGGAGCTCCGACCTGAACCTAAGCGAAAGAAACCGCGTAAATGGATCAGACCGGATGCCCTCATTATCAGGCTGATAGAGAAAGCAAAGTACGCCGAGATCCTGCGTCGAATAAAACAGGACGTCCCTGATGACCAGGTCCGCAGTGCGGTAGAGAAGATCCATAAGACCAATGCTGGAGATATGCTGATAACTCTTTCAAGAAAGAGCACCGATAAAGGCCAAACATTAAGAAGGACCATTGCAGACATTCTGAAAGAAGACGCAAAAGTAACCTGCAAAGGACCACAGGAGGTAATTTAGATCCGAGACATCGATGATGACACAACTAAGGACCAGATCCAGGGTGCCCTACAGGAGGAAGCTGGAGATGGCTGTGAGATATCACTAGAGGCTATCAAGATCCGTAAAGCCTACAGAGGTATTCAGACTGCTACAGTGACGCTACCAGCGTTAACTGCACAGAAGCTACTAGAAGGAAATAGCAAAGTGAGAATTGGTTGGGCCAATTGTCGAATAAGAGCAACGAAGAGACCTGTCCAATGTTTTAAATGCTGGCACTTTGGGCACTTCGGGTCCCAGTGCAAAAGCAAAGTCGGTCGGTCTAGGCTTTGCATCAGGTGCGGACAAGAAGGGCACAAGATTGCTGATTGCGAAAATCCAGCCAAATGTGTATTATGTGCTGAGATTGAAAGTGTAGAGAATGTTGCCCACCATGCCGGTACTCATAAGTGCCCGGTATTTCAGAATGCATTCCAGAAGTTGACGAACAAACAAGCATGAGGATACTGCAGCTCAATCTCAATCATTGTGAGGCAGCGCATGACCTGCTCATGCAATTCGTGCGAGAACTAGAGCTTGACTTGGTAGTGATAGCAGAGCCATATAAACACCTGAATTACCCAACCCTGGGAATCTGACAGCGCATCCAAAGCTGTCATCTGGTCATGTGGCAAGCTCCCTTTGCAAAATGCGGTCGACAACAGCAATGCTGGCTTTGTAGCAGTATCAGTAGAGGGCATCCGCTTCTATATCTGTTACGCACCACCTAGCCTCTCTACTGTTGAATTCACCGCATTTCTGGATCGACTTACTGAGGACGCGAAGCATTACTACCCAATGGCAATAGCTGTGGACTTCAACGCCTGGGCAGTAGACTCGGGAAGCAAGCATCCAAAAACACGAGGAAAGGAATTACTAGAAGCCTTTTCTACATTAGATGTAGTACTGCTCAACAGTGGTGACACACCAACCTACACCAAGGGAGACGCAAGTTCTATTGTAGATCTCACTTTCGTCAGTGGCAGCCTCACCAGAGGTAATATCAACTGGAAGGTGATGGATACCTACACAGCCAGCAACCACAACGCGATTCTTTGGGAAATATTAAACGCCCAGAGCTCGAGAAGACCTAAAGAGCAACTTAAAACCATTGGCTGGAAGGTAAAAACTCTTGATCCAAGTGCATTGTTAGTAGCTCTCAATAGTGACCAGATTATCGCGGGTTGCGCAGAAGAGAAGACCAAGGACCTGATGAAAAGAGTGACCCAGGCGTGCGACGCCAGTATGTCTCGTAGTCGTGGCATGAACACAAGACCTTCCGTTCACTGGTGGAACGACCACATCAGTGCCCTTCGTAAAGAGTGTCATCAAAAGTGTGTATTGAGTGTATTCAATCTAACACCAATGAATTCTGGAAATTCATCAAAAACAAAGAAAGAAATAATAGTGAAATACCATCAACTATGAACTGGAATGATCTATCTGCAGAGACAGGTAACAATATTTGCAATCTTTTTGCTTCATATTTTGAAAGTGTTTACACTCAAAATACACCTCACTAGAGACTTTTCTCTAGCTGTACCTCAGAGGAACCTTTCTTGACCCTAGATGATTTCGACGTTGACCTGGTGGATGTATACAGATCTCTACTGTCACTGAATATAAAGAAAGGTGCTGGACCTGATGGACTGCCCAATATTTTTCTCAAAAATTGTGCTGTTAGTCTCTGCGAACCTCTCTCGCACATATTTCGTACATCTCTGCAACAAGGATCTTTCCCTATGGACTGGAAAACATCGTATATCTGCCCTATACATAAGGATGGACCAAGAACTGATGTTATCAATTATAGGCCTATCTGCATACAATCAGCATTGGCCAAGCTATTCGAAAAACTAATTTTACCGCAGCTCACGTCATTCTTCTCCAATATCTTAACCAGCAAACAACATGGCTTCATTGGTGGGAGATCTACCACGTCTAACCTTTTTACCTATACCAACCACTTGCTGAATGCCTTGAATGCTGGTCACAAAGTTCACACTGTGTACACAGACTTCAGCAAAGCCTTCGATAGTGTTGATCACGACATACTTTTGAATAAACTCAAGGAACACGGGGTACGAGGAAATGCACTAAGCTGGCTTCGATCCTACTTAACAGACAGACAACTCCAGGTGCGAGTAGATGGTTATTTATCTGCCAAGTACAACGCAGTATCTGGAGTACCACAAGGGTCTCATTTAGGCCCCATATTATTTAACGTCTTCGTTAATGACATTGGAGCCGACTTCAATTCAAATTATCTGCTCTACGCAGATGATCTGAAAATTTTCAGAACAATAAAAAATGATTCTGATATCCGAGGACTCCAAAAAGACATAGATGTACTATCAGCATGGTGCAGCAGGAACAAACTGGCCCTAAATATTAAAAAATGTGCAATAGTAGCTTTTACACGCTCGAACACCAGAGTACCAACTAACTACAAGCTCAACGGCATCACTATTCATGAAGTAGAGACCATCAGGGATCTTGGTGTATTAATAGATAACAAATTAACGTTCAATCAACACATCGACAAAACTATCCTCCACGCATTCAAGACACTCGGCTTCGTTACCAGATCTAGTAAGGATTTCACAAATCCAAACTCGCTGCTAAGACTCTATCTATCAATGGTCCTACCAATTCTGGAATACGGCACTGTAATCTGGTCCCCACACACCGATTCTGCGATAAAACGAGTCGAAAGAATACAGAAAAAGTTCTGCAAGACCTTAGCCTATCGTTATGGGCCAAACGGTCTCTTTAACTCTGTAGAAGATGTATATAATCATTTTAAGATCAATAGTCTTCATGATCGCCGCAAGATTGCAGACTTAGTCTTCTATTACAAAGTAGTCAATGGAGTTACTGACACTCCTGACATCAGTAGCTGCTTTGAACTAATAGCACCCACGAGCCTACCATTGAGAAGGAACCGATTGCTTAAGACCACAACATCAAACAAGAATTATGTTATCTATGGTCCACACAACAAGATTGCCAATTTAGTAAACTCCTTACATAACGAAATTGATTTCTACGGTGGAACTTTAGATACTTTTATACCCGCTGTCAAACAGCATCTATTACGCTATTGCTAATTTATCAATATGTAACTTATTATAAAATGCAAACTCATAACTTTATGTACCAATTAATGTACCCTCTTTATCTTCATTTGTATTATTATATCTAAAATTCATAATTTTATATGTTAATTTGCTGTATATTGCCATTTGGCGTCTGTACTTCTAAATAAATAAATAAATAAATAAAAGAGAAGAATATCTCAGATTGGCTACCGACGAACTAACTTTGTTGAACTGGTTGCAGAGTACAAAAAAGCCCGTCGATCCCTGAACAAAGCCATCAAAGATAGCAAAAGAAAATACTGGAAGGAGCTCGTCAACGAGGTGGACAGAGATCTGTGGGGTCGGCCGTATAAGGTGGTTATGACCCATCTTAAAAACCAGCTAATGCCATCACCCACGTGTCCTCAACTCCTACAGAAGATCGTAAACGCGTTGTTCCCCGAACAAAGCGAGTTTAACTACCTAGTAGCGCAGAATGAAATGGATGACATTCCATTTGTCACGGAGGAAGAACTGATGGAGGCTTGTAATCGTGTAGGGAACAATAAAGCGCCGGGATTGGACGGGGTCCCCAATATTGCCTAAAAAACAACTATAAAAGCAGTGCCATCATTGTTCCTGGACGTCTACGACACATGCCTCAAGGAAGGGATTTGCCCTCAGAAGGGGAAGCAGCAACGACTAGTACTACTTCCAAAAGGATAAAAGCCACCAGAAGAACCGTCATCTTATCGACCACTTTGTATGTTAGACACGGCAGGTAAGATACTTGAGCGTATAATCCACCAAAGAATAGAAGCAGTTGTCGATCCACTCCTGGCAGACAACCAGTATGGTTTTCGGAAAGGACGATCAACCCTGGACGCAATCAACCTGGTTGTTGCAACGGCCACGGAGGCAATCGAAGGGATCAAATGGAAGGGTGGAGCGAAGAAGTACTGTCTGGTGGCCACTCTGGACATCAAAAATGCCTTCAACTCCGCCAACTGGGACTGCATTATGCAAGCTTTGGAAGAGAAAAACGTACCAGGATACCTACGTAGGATAGTGGCTAGCTACTTCACGGACAGAATCCTGAGATACGACACGAAGAATGGTCCAAAAGAGTACGATATTACCGGAGGCGTACCCCAGGGTTCTGTTCTGGGTCCACTTCTGTGGAATGTCATGTATGATGGCCTGCTGAGACTGACTCTACCAAGAAGTGTCAAGCTTGTTGCATATGCAGACGATGTAGCTGTCGTAATCGTTGCGAAACACCTAGATGAGATAAACCACATGTTCAGTATCATCTTTGAGAAAGTTAACCGGTGGATGGATTCAATGAATCTACAACTGGCTAAACAGAAGACTCAGGCTGTGCTTATTACCAGCAGAAACGTGATAGAGACCATAAAACTGAAAGTCGGAGAACAAGAAATCACATCACAACCATATATCCGATATCTGGGAGTGATGCTTGATGCCCGAGTCAACTTTAAGCAGCAAGTCGAACACGTGAGTGTAAAAGCATCAGCAGTGGTAGCTAGCTTAGCACGGCTGATGCCAAACGTCGGAGGCCCAAAGCAGAGCAGAAGACTACTACTATCATCTGTAGTCACATCAGTGCTCACTTACGAAATATCTATCTGGGTGGACGCACTAGAAAAGCAAGAATCATGGAGAAAGGCTGGACCAGTATATCGTCTGAGTGCCCTAAGAGTAGCTTGCGCCTTCCGCGCAATATCTGAGGAAGCAGTGTGCGTCATTTTTGGAACTCTACCTCTCAGAGTCCTAGCTGAAGAAAGACGGAACCTTTACCAACGAAAGAGGTCAACAACACTGAGCGCAGAAGAACTCAGAACGGAACAAAGACAGCACAGCATCGCACGATGGCAATCTCAGTGGGATGCCGCAGAGAAGGATAGATGGACGCATCGTCTCATACCAAAGATCGACATTTGGCTGAACCGGAATCACGGTGAGGTCAACTATTACCTAACACAGATGTTGTCAGGACATGGCTGCTTTCGGGTTTATCCTCACCGCTTTAGGCATGACGACTCTCCGGAGTGCCCGTCCTGCCCTGGAGCCACTGAAGATGCAGAGCACGTTTTTTTCGAGTGCTCGCGTTTTAATCAACAACGTGAGGAGCTGGAGAAGATCCTGAAGAAGACAATTCAACCAGAGTCAATCGTAGAAGCAATGCTGTCTTCAGAAGCTGCCTGGAATGCAACGAACACTTTTGCCACAGAAGTGCTTACAGAGCTGCGTTCCATCGAGAGTCATTTTTGATGATTACCAAAAATTCAAAATTTGACAAATTTGGCATTTTTCAAAATTTTTTTCTGAAATATTATTTTTTCAATAGCCCCAAGTGTTCCTTTTCAAACAAACGAAAGGTCATTCCTGTATCTATAATAGCGTTCGAGATATCACAAAAACAAAATTGAAAAAATCGCGAACTTTTGAATTTGCATATTTTTAGAAAAAAATTCTTTTATTTTTTTTCTTTTGGCAGAACTTCGTTCTATGATAAAAAAAATTTCAAAATTTCTGACCAAAATTTATCGAAATCGAAAGGAATCGATTCCAACTATTTGTCGATTTCATATGGAATGACCCAGCTAAGTAAAAAATTTTTAAATTATCAATTTATATACATTTTAATTGAAAATACTGGTAAAATCTCCTGACATCAGACGATCTGATAGACTGGCTACAAAATACAATAATGTGAATTTCAAAATCCCAAATTTCTCAAGAAATTCATTTGAGAACTCGTTCACTGTAACTGCGATTCGTCTTTGGCGTGACCTACCAGCTGATATCATAAACGCACTGAGTCTTGAGACTTTCAAAATTAAAGCTTTTGAATTCTTAAAACATCTGGAGTTAGAAAATCAAACGTGTAAATAAATATCTGATTAATAAATGATAAATTTCATTGATACTAAAACTAGTTTAATTACCAAACTGAGCTATACAAATTGCTACTATATTAAAATTGTATTTTTTTTTTCTATTTTCTCTGTATTTTAAATTAGATTTATACTGTGTTCTCACTATTATACAAAGATGTAAAATTGTTTGATAATGTTACTTACGTGTACCATTACCATTATGTATTTCTACCATTTGCTATTCGGCTTTAGCCTTGGCATTTAAATAAATAATAAATAAAAAAATAAAATCATAAAAAAAATTGTATTATTACGAATATTTTTTAAATTACGTTTAAATTTAAAAAATAAAAAAAATTCACGTGTAGAATTTTTGATGACGAAGATTTTCGTTTTTTTTTTTTTAAATATGTTAATTTTTGAGAAAGATATACAATTCAAAAAATTATATTTTTAGGAATATTTTTTAAATTATGATTAAATTTAAAAAATAAAAAAAATTCACGTGTAGAGTTTTTAACGATGAGATACATTTTCTTTTTTTTTTTTTTATTAAATCCGTTAGTTTTTTAGAGAGTTATGAAGCTCCAAAAATTTTTTGAGTTCCAGACTGAAATTTGAAAATCTGAAAAAATTCACGACGTAATCACAGTTCACTGATGAAAATATATTAATTTCATATCATTTTTTTAATTCGTCGAAGAATTATCAACAGACAAAAATTTATTTTTTAAATCACGGTTCGAGATTGATCGCATTACAAAAAACAAAATAATTTACGTGTAGAGATTTGAATCCCGCACTATTTCTGCTTGGGTAATTTATGATAACTTTTTTTTTCATCCAGATATCGCTGTCTAATGTCTAAGTTTTTAATTTGTCGGATGTCGGCTAACTTTACCATCATCTATAGTTATCTCAGTAAATTAATACAGCAACCCAAGCGTCACATAAAAAACTGTTGACTTTTTGGTAAATTTTATTTAACAAAAAGTCAAAAATTAATAATTTTCAACTTAAATTTAACAAAATATTACCAAAAAAATTTTCGAAAAATTTTTTTCCAAATCACTTCTGAATCTCCTCAAATACACTGATTTCAAATTTTCCCGCTAAAAATACACACTCATTCCCCACCGGACGGACCGTTTGTATTATGTACCACCTACTTCCTGTTGAATGAGACTGTTTCTAATAAAGGTTGTATGCGTAATAACAGGGCCATTTTAATCGAGAAGCCGACGTGGCTACCGGCTAACTATTCCATTTCACGATGAGAATATGTGAGTATTATTAATATAAAAATTCATATTAAATCTCTAGATATTTATAATTTTATTAATGTTTGTAACAAATTAGATGTTATTTATACGGTATTAATTTTAAAATCCATTTTTTACTATTTTATTGTAAATGGTTGAAAAAAATACAATTATTTTAGATGCTTGATTATTTTCTTCTAATCAATTTTTTCATTTGTACAAAAAAATATGTCATGCAACTCAATTTACAAAAAAGTTTATTCTGATATTTTACAATAAATTATGAATTTTGCTATTAAGTATGAATTTTTTTTTTATAGTGCAATGGATTATCGTCGTGGCATCTGTATTAGGAATAAGCTTAGCTGCTACAGATATTACACCTTCGACTAATTTTTATTTAACTGAAAATGATAAACTTAGATTACTCAAGGTCCTCGAACTAGGATTTCAACTCAATGATGTTCAATCTACATTTTATGCTGTCTTAGGGTACAAATTGCTGGATAAAGCTGTTCCTAATTCTTCGGTAAAAAAGATTATTTATTTTTTATCATTAAGTAATTTTTAAGTATTTCTTTGAAAATGATGAAAACTGCATCTGTTGATAAAATATGATTTTATGATTAGTCTTACTGAACGAACATTATAAAATTTTAATTTTAGTATTGAAACAGTAAAAAAGTTAACATGGATGAATAATTTACTTACAGGATTTGTGTAAATACTTGATTCAAAATGCTGGAATGGACTCAAACATGACTCCCGAATCAATTTTTTTCATCATATCTGCATGGCAGAGTATTGGTTCTTGTCAATCGTTGCCTGTATCTTCACTATCAAAAGTGCGTATAAAATAATGTCTTCATAAAATTCTGAATGAATCATTTTTAAGTAAAATTTTTTTTCATGTCCTCTTATGAAATTGATGATTTATATATGTTGAAAAAAAATGTTTATTGTTAGAAAGAATTGGAGGTTTAATTGAAAGTATCATTCGATTCTCCATCTTGATTACATAAAAAAAAAAAATCTTTTTTACTTTCAAAATAATTTTTTAGAGAAAATTAATTATGAATTCTGCAAAGCATTAAGTTTATGAAAATTCGATGAAACCCTACGTGATTTTTCAAGGGCGAATTCTTAGACCAGGTTTTTTATGAAAACCTGGCTTGAAAAATTGATTATAAGTAGCAAACGACATACAGAGCTCTAAATTAAATTTCATAAATAATAATAATATGCATCTAACTTTGACCTAGCTTGGTTTACGGAAAAATATTGGATGATTATCCTTGCGAATTTAAACGATTTCACTTTAGAGTCTGATAAATTTATACTGTTACTGCAATAACTTACAAACCACAAAAACTGAACGTTTGCTTTGAAATTGAATTTAGAATCGTCAGAATTATTTTTTGATGAAAATCAAATTTTTTTTTTTCTATTAATAAAATTCTTTAACACACTGTTCATGATTTAATTTATATTTTTATTTTTATTAGATATTATCTGAAGTGATAGAAAAAGATACATCGACAGTTCCTGACTTGTATCATGCCATATCTGCGTATGTTGCTCTGTCTCAGAAATTGTCACAATCTACGACATCAAAAGTTGTCAAAGTTCTACAAGCTGCGTTGAAAAAAGATGATAATTTTTTGAAGTAAGTGAAAATATTGTAAATACCTACTCTTTTCTTTAAGAGAAATGATTAATTATGTTCTTAATGAAAAATAGTCATTTAAATATAAAAATAGATAATTAAAGATCCATAGTGTATCATACGGATCACTATAATAAATCTGGTATATGGTCCAATGAGGACGACAGTTAACAAAAGGGGGGGGGGGGGGGAAGGGAAAAGTACTAGTTTAAAATGTCTGTAAAAATTTCTTTGACATAAAATATTTATTTTTACAAAATAAGTTTGAAATTTTTTTTTTAAAAAGCCTATATCAGGGAAGTTTCACTTGTTTTACCAACTAATTTTTTTGTATTTTTGCTACTTAATGTTTTAAAGAATAAGAAGCGTTCTATTTTAATTGAGAACAGATAATTTATTCAAGAATTATTATTTTATCAGGAAAATTAATCTATTTTATAATTTTTTAGCGTTGGTTATATTTATCATATTGCTGCAAACTTAGGGCCAGCTGGAGATTTTGCTCTAGATAAGATTGAAGACACTATTGTTCAAGCTGATGAAATTGACGGTCGCTTTTTGCGATTTGAAGGTGGTCTTTCAGTGACAAGTAAGTTTTTATATGTTAATAATTGTTGAAATGTTATTAATTTAATTTAAAATGATGTTAATAAAAACTTTCGTTCTTCTGTTATAATCATGGAGAAAATATATTTTACTGATATTTAACAATTAGGTTTTTATTCATAGTTATACCTCTATCACGTGAATAGAGAATAAATTATTTTCTCTTTTTTAACTACAGGTCTTTTAGTTACTGGAATAGCTAAATTATCAGCTGCACGAAAGAAACCTCCACCTGTTACTCCTGAACAAATCGTCAAAATAACTAATTACTTACTCTCAAGACATTTGGTACAGTCTATTAAGGGTGCTGCTATGCTACTATCTGCATTAAAAACTATTGCAAATAATGATTTCAATAAGCCTATTTGTATTACGCTTGCTGAAGGGAAAAACGCTGTATCCGCTAAACAACCATTAGTTAATATCAAAGTAAGTGATATCTTCGGTAATTCACTTCCAACGGTTCCTACCGTAATTGCGAACTCAGCAACGAGTTTGGACGACGACGTTGTTGTCATCAGTAAGAAAAGCTTTACTCCATCTCCAAAGGATAAGTAAGTTAACATTCATAGCTTTAAATTTATCAGTTAACTTCTTGAATTTAACAATATTGATAAAAATTTTCTAATCAACACTATATCATACTTGAAAGCTTATTTATTTAAATAATAAATAGATTAAGGGTTATTATGTAAATTTCATGTTTTGTTAATATTGTTTCAAGTCGTTATTAAACCAGAAAATTTTTTTTTATTTCGTTTAAACACTAATTACCGAATTATAAAATTATGTTGGAATTTTGAATCGTCTTTTCAAGCAGTAATTTTACGAAATAAGAATTTGATGTCATTTTTGTCAACTTTTCATTTTTTCTTTTTTCTCAATTTTTTTGATGCATTGTTTGCAAATGATGTAAATTAAAACTTTCGTTCTTCTGCATTTAAAGTGGAGAAAATGAATATTACTGATAATTGTTGAATGTTTATTTAAATAATTTTTATATTACTAAAAAAAATGAAAATGTAATGTTTTTGTTTTTTTTTCTGTCAACAGAACTATTTTTACGATGAATTTTATGAATATTAAACCTCATCGGGGATTTTACAAAGTAGCAATTCAAGCAGGATCAGTTTCGACTACTGTAACAGTTAAAGTTTTGTCTGAAGTGAAACTTGACTATTTAGAAATTGGTACTGGTGATGCTGATCAAACAACTCAGTCAAAATTAATCAAGTAAGAAAATACTGTTTGCAATCAATACATTTGATGTATTAATGCGAAAAATATCAATATTGAAATAATTTATTTTCAGAATTACTTATCCGAAGAAACTCGATCATAAAATTGAAGCTGATTCACAACAAAAACTGGTTATGAAATTTTCTTTATTAGATATTACACTCAGTAAATCGATGCGTGTACATCAAGCTTTTGTAAGATTGTCAAAGCTTATTAAATCTGTTGAAGAAAAACAACTTCATGAAGTTATCTTTGTGGCAGAGCCTGATGCTTCGAATATTTATAAGTTTGAAATGCCTGTCGGAAGTGAAGCTCAAACGTTCGGTTATTATTCTGGTGAATATGACGTTGATTTGATTGTTGGTGATGCGGTCCTTAACAATTCATTCCAATGGCGTGTAGCAACTGTAGATTTGAAATTCCCCGAACAAACAGGCAATGAAGTTGTTAATATGAATAAATTTGTAGGATACAGTAAAAATTCTGCAATATTTACACCAAAGTCAGAAATAAAGGTAAGAATCATGTAAACAAAAATATATAGATATAATTCAGTGTTCATTGGTGACAATAATTCGTATTTTTGTTACTTCCAAACCACTGAAAAAGTAAAAAGCTTCGTTTATACTATTGTATCTGTTATCTATTAATGATACATCATGAATATAAGCTAACATTTTTTCATATTTTATTATTTTTAATATCAATATTATATCGAGTTAAGATTAAAGTGTCATAACGAAAATCACAACATTAATATTAATAATAATTATTATTAAAATTTCAGCATATGTTCCGAGAACCTGAAAAGAGACCACCAGTTTTTATGTCAAACGTATTCACTGGCCTTTGTTTAGCTCCATTATTGCTTTTATTTATTTTATGGGCAACATTAGATGTTAATATTTCCAAATTTCCATACTCTCTGAGTGCAATAATTTTTCACTTTGGATTAGGTGGTAAGTTATTTGTTAAAATATTTATAAGCAAAACAGTAAGTTAAATGCAATCATTAGCAAAAAAGTAATTTTCATATCAATTTTTTTTTTTTGAAAGTATTCCAATTTAAGCAATTTTCTAATTTTTCTTCAACTCAATTTTGAGTACATAATAGAATTTTTGTTTCATTAAGACACGCAAATTATTGTATGCTTGTAAAAGTTCTGAAATTTTTGTTGAAAATTTTGTGATGTCGAACCATTGATATGATACTTACATCTAACAGGAGAAAGTATACTATACTGTTTATTCAAGTCTAGAAATCTCGTTCGGTCAGAAAACCCGTTGGCTACCACGAGGTTTCTAGAAAAGAATATTCTTCCGGATTATTAGCCAGTATTTCATGTTTGTGTCCCGGAATGCTGCGAAATGTATACTTTCTGGGGGAGAGTTCATAAACTTGAAGTAGGAAGAAAGAATTTTTCTCAATGTATCAAAATCTTTTCAATCGATGAATTTCAAACTAAATCCTATTTAAATTATCATAAGTTCTAATTTCAAGACTTATTCAGATTAATATAACCTGAAGAACTATTGCCAGTTAAAATGAAATATCATAGATTTATTAGTAAATATTTTCTTTATAGTGAATGCTTTATCATCAAAATAAATTTTAAGTTATTTATTTCAAATGGAGCAAAGAGCAAAAATGAGGCTATCATATTTAAATTTTCGTTTTGATTTAAACTTTTTTTTTTTGTTTTAGGAATTTTTGTACTTTTCGGAATATTCTGGTTAAAGCTCAATATGTTTGTGACACTACAATATCTTCTAGGGCTTGGCATTTCAACGTTCTTAGCAGGCAGCAAACTTCTATCGCATATTGCATCAAATCAAAAAGCGTCACGTTAATTGATAAAAAGTACTAAATGTTTTTTTAAGTGACTTATTCTCATTTATCACTCAAATTGCATTAAATAGGAATTATGATTTTATAAAAAAAGTCATTAATATTAAATGATTAAGTATTAACTTATAAATTAATAAATTACATAGCAATTTATTATATAATACAAAATAAAATTATTTTTTATGTTTTTTTTTGTTGAATCTTTTTTTTATTTATCTATTTTTAAGTAATACAATTAACAAATTCGGGAAAAATAATGTTTTAATCGAATAACTTTGAGATAAATTTCTGTTTGTAGAGACTTGAATAAATGACACCAAATTTTTAGTTTAATTAAAAAACAAAAAGAAAAAACTTGATTTAATTTATTAGTCGAAATTTTAAACTCTCACATAAATAGCACCATTCTTCTAGTAAGCATTGTTTTTCTTTTTTCAAATTATTCAATAATAAATTTGCCGTATTCACTTTATACCAAAAAAATTCTAAATTATTAAGCTCTCCATATAACTGAAGTGAAATTAATTAATATAATTGATTAAATAAAAAGTATCAGTTCTAAGTTAGAGTATCTTACTTGTCCATCTTGAACGGGAAGCGATTTCTCTGAGTGCATTTGAAACTTTCTACATGTCCGAATGAAGAATAAGAGATATTGACTCTTCTTTGTTAAATTTTGTAAATTTTTTATTGTAAAAATGTACTGCTTTACAAATAAATTTAATAGAAAATGATCCAATTCTCGATCTGATGAATTTATCAAATTAAAATTTTTTTCTACCACTTGCGTAAAGTTATATACCTTTCTTATATTGTTTGGCCATCGAACTATATTTATTAAGAAGTAAATCTTGAGTGGAAGTAAATTTAAAAACTTGCTCATTAGGTTTATGGTATAATTCTACAATTTTCCTTTGAAATGTAGTGATAAAACCAAGTAAATGAGTCATTTGTGTTGAATGTTCAACAATAATTTTTTGATTTTTTTGATTTTTTTCGGCTTGATTTTCATAACGTATATGGCGATATTGATTATCTAAAAATTTATGTATTTGATAATATAAATAAATAATAAAAATAATAAATCCAAAAAACCACTGAAGATTCAAGAACTCAAATTTTACGCTATCATATCGCAATTTATGTTTGTCAAAAATATAGAATTATGAAAATATAACAAAAACTAGAATCAGATCTTATGACTTCTATAAATATTACGCGTTACTAATGCCAAAAGAGCGTATCTCAAAATATACGCCCTTTTGGTTCTGTAAGGCCAAAAGGGCGTATATTATGAGATATGCCCTTTTGGCATTAGTAACGCGACATGCATATTGTTAAGATTTATGAAATTTTTACAGATTGAAACTGAAATCATAAAAATACTATCTCTTAAATTCTATACAGAATCCATAGCTATTTTATATATAAAGTGTTTCTAACGAAGAACTACAATTACTCAAAAATTATTTAACTTCTCGCGCGATAAGCTTCAGTAATTTTAAGTTTTTTACTGGAAAAAACCTTTCAAATATTTGAACAACATAGTTGTTAATAAGTTCCAAGCTGAAGATACTTTTTCTTCCAATCGCACCATTTCTATTTTTGAGAAATCGTGATCGCGATGTCGAAGAGTTTTGAGTTTAACTAAAAAATAGCAATAATAATTCACAATTTTATACCACCGCAAGAAAATATTTAATATCATTTGTAATTGGGTTAATAAATCGTACAACTCATTTCACTTTTCATATCATGGAGCATTACTTTGTTATCATTCTCTTCTTTAAATATTATAGTACGAATTAAAGCTTCATTATCATTTTGTAGGGCAATTACTTTTGTTAAGCTGGTGTCATATTCTTGAAGGAGTAAACTCAAAATCAATTCATAATCAATATACGTTGTTTCCAATTTCAATTGATGGATTTTTTCGAATGATTCTATTATTTTTAGATGCTGATTGGCATTATCTTGAAGTTGGTGTTTACACTCATTTAAACAAATTAGTACAAAATTTTGACTGTATTGTTATTTTTTTATAAAGAAAAGTCATTAGTGAAGATTAAAAAATAAAAGATGTTAAGGGGGCGTCCATAAATTACGTGAGGTGTTTAAGGGGGGGAGGGGGTCGAGTCAAATCTCATCTAATCTTACGTTGGAGAGAGGGGGGGTCTCGGCAAATATCACGCAATTTTTTTTCTGGTTGAAACAAAAAAAAAAATTAGAAAAACGGTTCACCCTAAAGGCCATCCGTGCAACTTCCCACTAATTCCATTTCTGGGCGCTTAAAATTGTACTTATGACATTTTTGAGATTTTTTAAGCTCAAAATATAATTTATGTGGTATTTTGAGCTCGCTGAGTTCAAAGAAATAATATTTCTATGCATTTGAGCTTTCCCAGCTCAAAAGTCTGATAGAAGTTTCATAGAACTAGAACACTATTTTTGGAATTTTCAAACCGTAATAACTTTTGAATGGATCAACTAATTTTCACGTGGTTGGCGCCATTCGACGCAGTTTTATCATCCTCATAAGTTATTTTCAGGTTTTAATTGATCAAACCGAAAATTTCGGAGTAATCCCGAAAAAACACTTTTTTCAGTTTTCTTTCGTTCACGA